ACATTGATGCCTACTTACGTCGCTTTATTGAGTTGTCATGGTAATTCAATATCAACACTATAGAGAGCATACGCGTCGTACACAACACAATTTTAGTGAGAATGGCTGCTGATGTGTAATGCTAAGCTGTTACGAAAATTAATATATTCCAATACCGACTTTCTCTGTTCCTGACGAAGCATTAATTATTTCCTAATTAAGGACTACTACTAATAACGATTGGCTCATGTACAAAATGGTAATTACTATACCTGGAACAGGGGATAGACTATCGATTTTTTTCTGTATTAGAACGCATGGTCACATCATGTGTATGCCGAACTGCTTCTGGAGACTCGCTTCCTCGAACTCGGTTTTTAATATTTGATAAAAATCTTTGAAACATGTCGGCAATATAAGTTATGATTAAAGTAAGCACGCATATAATGTGAACATTCAGAGTCGATGATTGTAAAATATTATTACCAGTACTGTTCAACCAAAAGTTCTCCTTGCATGGCGGCCAGTTAACCATGTTAATGATGCACAAAATTTTGAATCCTAAAACATGTATTAGCCATGATGAATTACTTTTAGAAAAAAACGTAAACTTAATCTGCTTCAAGTACGAGGTAAATCCAGATTGATTTTTCAGGCTCGTGTCTTTTTAATTTCGCTGTTAGCAACGTCGTGGAATTCATTTTCAGATAAGTAACGTTCTATCGAACCAAGTAGTGTTACCTGACAAAATTAATAAGGGTGGATCTATAAATTTATGTCGGGTATATCTATAGGGTTAATGTCGGGTATATCTATAGGATTAACGTCGGGGATATTTATAGGATTAATGTCAGGTATATCTATAGGATTAACGTCGGGTATATCTATAGCATTAATGTCGGGTATATCGATAGGATTAACGTCGGATATATCTATAGCATTAATTTCGGGTATATCTATAGCATTAATGTCGGGTATATCTATAGAATTAATGTCGGTTAAATCTATAGCATTAATGTCGGGTATATTTATAGGATTAATGTCAGGTATATCTATAGGATTGATATCAGGTATATCTATAGAATGAAAATCGGGTATATCTAAGAAGTTAACACAGGCAAAAGATAAACCTTGTTAAATGAGAGCTATGACTGATTCTACAAATAGATTAATATGGAGTATGGAGGTTTTATGTGATGATTTTTTATTAGCCTTTATTAAAATTCGAGTGTCATGTGTGAACTTCTTAGCGATATCCGACTTTAATTAGGATATATAAGGTGACACGCTAACAGGGTAGTTATCACGTTGCATATCTGAAATTAAGTTTACAGATACGAAATTCAATAAAAAATAAAAATAAAAATAAAAATATTAGGGAAACTATTTTTGTATTTTTCATTTCTTGAATTATTTATTTATTATTTTCACACTAAAAATATAAATACAAATGAAACTAAAATAGTTGAAACGTAGCAAATTGTTGGTGATGAGCAGCCATGAAATTATTAAACAAAAACTTTTTTTTTTTTTTTATCCCTGCCAACTTCTAATTAGTTAACCCTTAACCTAAACGTAAGACACTGACAAAACGGCCGTTTTTCACAACATATACTGTCCTATCGTATTTGTTTAGTTTTGTTTTAACAGATTTATCCCTAGTGATCTTGCACATATTTTGCAATATCCAAGAAATGGATTTGAACGGATTTGATAGTCCCCTATTCAAACTACCTATACACTAAAGTTATGATCATTCATGTAAACATTTAAATGCAGTTGTTTCAAGATTTGACCCTAGTGACTTTGAATAAAGGTAAAGATGAATTCGGAACATCTTCTTCGTGTAGTTTTAATTATAGAAAGGCGTATGTAGCATAACCAATAATGTTTATCTATGCTGTTTCGATGACTAGTACGGTACCTGTACTGTTACCTTCATCAGACAAATGACCAGTGCAACGTATGTACACAATATAAAATGTGTTAGAGTTGGCGATATGAAATGACAAAATTCGACATCGATTCGGCTTCGCTATGAGCGTATGTAAAATGTGTTGTTGCATGTGTAAAAATGCCGCAACTAAAACCGATAAATCGATTTGGCTACACAATTATATCTTGTCATAGATGTATTCCGTCTTTTCGTATTGCAGAGTTATCTTCTCTTGTGAGCAGGTATTGATTGTTAAGTCATTTGTTTGTGAGAGAAACGTCATCAATTTTTGAGAAAACGACGTAATTTTCTCACATAAACCAATGACGTAACAATCAATACCTGATCACAAGAGAAGATAACTCTGCAATACGCAAAGACGGAATATACATATATACCTACATGTATCAAACTTCAGAGGTGATCCCAAATTGTACTGTACATCATATGTCCACAGGGAAACCCACGGACAACTATTGTGGGCTATACTTAGATGCAATCAGAATCATTGAAAACGCTTTGAATTAGACTGATCTAGATAGAGCCTAGAACACCAATCTCCAGAATCTATGCCATCAACATACTGGGCAGTGATACATGTATGGGCATCCCGGTGTCTCCCATCGTGACCACTGCTCTGACCAAACATGTCACCAACAGATGCTATAAATTCACGTGCTAGGAGAAATTATCGGCACGATGATCCACCTAGGCACCCTACTGGTACAGAAAGATGATGGAACCTGGAATATTTGCTCTATAGAAAAACCTACCCCAACGGACCAATCTCAGACCTTTAAGTATCACCATCCTTTGCATCAGAAGTAAGGCGTCGTACGTACATTGCTCAACAGATGCGATACAATTGTCACAGAAAAGAAGACAAAAGACAGACAAGAGCAGCATGTAGATATTCGGATTGGCCATCACATGGGTACGACAACTGTGTCAAGGTATGGGATAGAACAAGAAAAGGCCAATCAAGGATAAGAACAAGATGAAAGGGCATGTCGTCATCCCATATATAATAGGAACATCCGATACCATCCAGGCGATATATCGCGGCCAGAGGATAACAGCAGAAATAAAGCCCGCCTAGATGCTTCGTATGCCTGTACAAAATCGGATGCAAGAATGCAAGAAATATGACGCATCTTATATCGCAGATTTGGGGTCCGACTTAATGAACACCGGAGAGACACGGAATCCCAGGGCAGAAAGAAATTCATCCAATCAGAAAGGAAGCAGTTGAAGTCCCATTTAAACAATCGGCAATTACAGACCATCTCAATTAACAAAACCATATCATTGACAGGGAAAACTCCAAAGTATTGGTGTCAGAGAGAGAGAGCAATCCGTTCAATCAGCAAATAAAGGAAACCATCTTGATACGCCGCTGCAGGTCAGTATTGAATCGAGTTAAGGGGGATCCTTAATATTCGTGCATCTATGATTACGCGTTAAACAAAACGTAGCCGAATTGATTTGTCTCGGACAAATAAATCTTACAGACTATGTCTGTACTATTTGTCATACTACTACATGTCAGTGTACATGTACTCCTGTAGCGTATGAATGTTGATGAAAAAGCAGAACATTTCAGGGGAGATGCCGTTTGAAAATCTCCCACTCTGTGAATCCTTAAAGCTCAAACCCTCAGCTCCCTAATATGGGTCAACCACTTCTCGAATATATCCTCATGGTCTAAGCCCAGGATCATTTTTAGGAAACATTGATCTAATCCATCAGTAACTTTCAAAGGAGATACTGGTTGAAAGTGTTTTACTCTGTGACCCATAATGCTACCCTCCATTCGGGATGATAGGGTCAGTCCCTTCTCGAGTACAGATTCTCATCATCATCAAAGCTTCATTTTATGGAATGTTGGAGAAAACATCCAACAGCAAGTTCTTTGAAAATACCTTTTGATTAACACTAGGTAACTCTTTAGCCTTGTCCGTGGGTTGTCCATCCCGTCCTTAGTATAGACTCTGATCCTCATCATCTAAGTATCATTTGATATTATAAAGTTTTCTGACGCTTGACCTTTATGTTAAAAGGAGATAACATCTGAAGGGAGTCCATTCCCTGACCCTTTGTGGCCCTGTCCCTCTGCACTCTAGGATCGACCCAGCCCCCTTCTTTAGTATAGATTCGGATCCATACTATAAGAAGATAGCACCACCAAACCTCAACAAAATCTGACAGATGGTTTCTGAATAGTCAACATTATTTTAATGCAATGGATGGCAGACAATGCACAACAGATGAAAGGCCATCGCAAAAGTTCACCAAAGTGACTCACGTGAGCTAAAAACGCTTAAACATCAATCGAAGATTTCAGCCTTTTTTTGCCTCTGTGACTTTGAATGAATAAAGGTCAAGGTAATTTATTTGATCATCATTGAAGTCCTACATCCTGGCTACCTACTAATAACATATGACTATAAGCCTTCTGGATCTTGATAAGTCATTAAAAGCTACCCACTGTTGACATATCATGACTCTTGCTTATCTCTTTGAATATCTTCAATAGCCATTTATCCCAGGTTCTTGCTGATCAAATAACGTGACACTAGGTACATGTATAAATGATTTACATATTTGACCCCTTTGACCTCAAAGGAAGATCAAGGTCTTTTATTTCAATAAATGAAAGCCTTCCATATCTGCTGATCATATATCTCATACCTACATGTAAGCCTACTGAAGCTTGAGATTTCCTTTGAATTTCAGATTTCACTAAAGTAACCTCGTATAAATGTCAAGGTCAATCATTGTGGAAAAACTACTGTTTATTTATAACATTACCGCAAGCTTTCTTGTAATTGAGGAAATAGTATTAACAGATTTTGACATATTTCACCCGTGACCTTGAATGAATACCAAAGCAAAAAAGTTGATACCCTTCTATCCCACCTACCTGCTGCTCAAATACATGACCCTAGGCCTTATGGTTCATGATAATCTCTGAACTGTCAATTGTAAATGCACTGACAAAGCGACAGATGACAGACAAGGACAGTCTTAGACTGGAAGCATAAATGACATTCCTGAGAAAAGTTAACTCAATGAAATTACAATATCATATTTTGACAGAAGAAAAAGTTTTATTCAAATAAATTCAGTTTATAGCAAGTTGAACACCATTGTTGTGATTATTTTATTGTCTGTGTTCTAATGCATCCAGATCTCAAAATATCCCAAGCAATGTCTTGATAATAATACATGCACTTCATATTGTCAAACAAAAGAAAAGAAAACTAAAACAGGAATCTAATTTTTTTTCATGACAGTGTTGATGGTAGTTTTCTTATCTGCATAATTGGCCAGCATCCTTGATAGAGAACAACCGATGATGGAGTTCCTTGCTATGATGACGTAATATCCCATAAATAATATAAATTCAATCAAAGATGCACACATCTACATAATAATCATATATGTACATACAGCACATTTTTTATCATTTTTAGGAATAACATATCATTAATGAATATAGTGGCAATGGTCTTCTGATAAACTAACCTATTATAATAAGATAAAGAAGAAAACACGAAAACGTTTTCATTCTGTCCTCTGGTTCACTACACCCTCTTCAAAGTGTTTTTGTTATTTCATTCACTCTTTCAACTCCATTTGCTCAATCCATCTTCCACTTCCGCATGCAACAGAGTGACATGGGACACATGGAGACATATTGCATATCACAGTCTTCACATCAAGCCGGGGTGGCTGTAGCTTCACTAGTACTAGTTATAGGGAAATAGCCTGGTTGCCAAAGGCCACACCATTTCTGAAACACGACAAACATATTGTGTCAGGCGAGGATTACATGAAGTCCTTACATAATGCGTTACACTCAATCAAAACTACACTCTTTTCTTAGCACAATAATAACTCATGCTGACTTCATAGAGAATTTATCATTGAGTCAAGTATAGAGATCTAATACTTATCACATTTTAAACAGCAATGAAAATAGCAATCTGTACCCATTTACCTTTGATAATTAGTGACAAATGTAAATCTAGATTGTCACAAATAGGATTAATTGTTTCTCTCTCTCTCAATTCTATGAAGTGAACTTATTAATTTACCTTGTTTTACATGTGTCCTGTATTTAATGTAACTTGGTTACCTTGTTGGTATATCAATGTGTCTTACATTTAGCTCAACTTGCAATAGCCTTGTGTCTTACATTTAGCTTAACTTTGTATAGCAATGTGTCCTACATTTAGCCAAACTTTGTATAGCCATGTGTCTTACATTTAGCCTTACTTTGTATAGCTATGTGTCTTACATTTAGCCCAACTTGCAATAGCTATGTGTCTTACATTTACCTTAACTTTGTATAGCCATGTGTCCTACACTTAGCCCAACTTTGTATAGCCATGTATCCTATATTAAGCCTAACTTTGTATAGCCATGTGTCTTACAATTAGCCTTACTTTGTATAGCCATGTGTCTTACATTTAGCCTAACTTTGTATAGCCATGTGTCGTACATTTAGCCTAACTTTGTATAGCCATGTGTCATACATTTAGCCTAACTGTGTATAGCCATGTGTCCAACATTTAGCCTAACTTTGTATAGGCATTTGTCCTACACTTAGCCTAACTTTGTTTAGACATGTGTCCTACACTTAGCCCAACTTTGTATAGCCATCTGTCTTACATTTAGCCCAACTTTGTATAGCCATATGTCTTACATTTAGCCTAACTTTGTATAGCCATGTGTCCTACATTTAGCCTAACTTTGTGAAGCCATGTGTCCTACATTTAGCCTAATCTAATGTAGCCACGTGTCCCAAATTTAATATGCCTTTGTATTGCTGTCTTTTACTAATCAATATTTCCTATCTCTTAAGAAATTAGTTGAAACCATGGATATCAATTAATTTCATTATTTGTATTGGTTTATTATGGTTATCAGTTACATGTTCTGGCACAAAGGTAATTCCAACCAGGTTCAAATGGACATCCAGATTCCAGATTGGAAGGGACGAGTACACAAGTCTGATAATCAGATAATTATGTCTATTGATCATGAAATCTAGTCCAAAATCTATTGCTCTTATGCGTACACCTGTTACTCTGTGCCAGTAAGAATCAGATGTTTAATCAAGCTACTTATGTTCCAGTATATGGTAGCAGGTATAGAAAGTAGGATAAAGGGATCAATACACAGGAATCACCACTGTAACACTGAGCAGCTGCTAATACTCATTTCACATTATAATTCACATTTGATAAGCAGCAATTTTCATATTTTTTTGTTGCTGTTTTAGAAACTAAAAGGAGTTTTCTTTTAAATCTGAAAAAGCGCATCTGTGCTAGACATAATGTTTGCAAATAAGGGTGTTTACTACAGAAGCCATTTAAATCTCAAGTATTACTCATTACAAGCTTTGTTGGCAAAGACAAATCACATATTTATAATTATTTCTTACAATAAATGAAGGTGTGATCTTAAACTTCCATTATTAGTCAATGGAAGGAACAAGACAGATGTAACAGAAGTGTTTCAGATCTTGAGAGGCGTTTGAGCAAAAGAATTTGAGGCCATTTACTCAGCCTGGAAAAATCAAAAAGCAAGCTGGACTCCGAAAATACTCATGGTTCAAGCACCAATACATTATAACATCAGAAAACTGCCAAGAAAATTATTAGAAATTAGCCATAGTACCACATCAATGTGATATGTCACAACTGAAAGAAATTAGGTATATAATTACTAAAATCATGGTTAAAACGATTTCAATATAGAGGCAGATATGACTGCATGCAGGAAAAAGTATCACTTGTACAATGTACTAGACTTGCTCCAGTCCAGTATGTGTTTAGAGGGAGGAGAAATTGATTAAATCACAAACTGGACCAAGGAAGCAGTAACTGTGATTATTGAACAGTAGCAAGATTGTTCTCATATTAAATAACATGCATAAAAATGTTGTTGCCCATATATATCCATGCAGCTTGGATTTATGCTTCTCTAATTTCAAAAGGACATCATTCGGCCTCTAAAATGACAATTTTGTTATGTCTGCCAATAAACATGTAATATACCATTTTTAGAGACTGAAACTATCAGTCAACAGCACCAAGTGCCTATGATACACAGTAAAACATGCATGTTAGTGCTTTGTATTCATGCAACCAATGATGCACCATCCTGCTTTCAAAATGTTTGATCTCTTTGTGTTAAAATAAGGTCCATAATGTTTTTATAACAAATAGTAAACAATAAATGAAATGATTCTTTTTGGGGTATTTCTAATCATATGATTGTGTAACGCTGATTGCCTTAAATCATCAATAGTTTGATATCACAAGGAACTAGTTCTGTCTGATCAGGTAGCACATTGACGAGTGGAATAGCAATAGATTACACTATATATGACAATGATACTTTGTTAAGTACAATGTTTACAAGCCACAAAGGACCTAAGCTTCACTGCTCTGTTATACACTTATCACTTTATTGCGCAGGCATTGATAACATGCTTCAGAAACCCAATGATTACCCGTAAACTATCAGTTCAATTGGAAGGATCCAATGCAATGATATGGTCTGATTTGGCTGCAGTACTGTAGTGTTTCAGTTTAGCCACTTACCTGACTAGCTGACATTGGTAAACAGTCTATGAAATAGGGTGGCTTAGCTAATAGGGGTACCACATAATGTATAGTAAAGTTATACATATATAGCATTAGGTCAATCTACTCCGTACATTATACTGCAGTATATTTCAGTATATCTTCGCAGTATTAAGTTCTATTTCTATATATATAACAAGGAGAGAATGTGTACTCGTGAACATTGGTACAACTATACCAGCTAATGAGGTACATGTACTGGTGAACATCGGTACAATTATACCAGCTAAAGAGTTACATATACTCGTGAACATCGGTACAATTATACTAGCTAATGAGGTACATGTACTCGTGAACATAGGTACAACTATACCAGCTAATGAGGTAGATGTACTCGTGAACATCGGTACAATTATACTAGCTAATGAGGTACATGTACTCGTGAACATAGGTACAACTATACCAGCTAATGAGGTACATCTACTCGTGAACATTGGTAAAACTATACCAGCTAATGAGGTACATCTTCTCGTGAACATTTGTACAACTATACCAGCTAATGAGGTACATGTTCTCGTGAACCTCGGTACAATTATACCAGCTAATGAGGTACATGTACTCGTGAACATTAGTACAATTATACCAGCTAATGAGGTACATGTACTTTGAACATAACTTGTTTAAATGACCAGCTAATCTCTGATTTCCGATTAAACTTGTTTCTTGTTTTGTATAATTTCTAATATCTTAAAGAATATGAATATGAAATCTGACATTGTCATGAATTTAGTGACAATATCTATATACTGATAAATGCAGAAATAAAGATTTATGACGTAATGTTGAAATACTCTATAAACACGCAAATCCTGAAACAGTATACTCTCGGACTAAACATACTTTCTATCATTAAAAAATGTCTTCATAAACTGGTTATATTACATGAATATATAAATGTTTCAAATATTACAATCAGAGATTGCATTTAGGGCGATTCATTTTTATACATGTATTTTCTCATGTAACATTAACTACCTTGGGCAATATGTATACCGTACAAACATAGATTGTTATTTTTCAAATTAAATCACATGTTGTAATAAAACTGTGATGCCTTCCTCATGGGTCTTCTTATATCTATATATACATTGTATACTACTATTTTGTCATCACTGTTTCCATAATCAAATTGCTGTCAATATAGAATTGGTACTTGAACTTGTGTGAACTATGAAAAGTCATGTGATACATTACAATGTAACATTATACACTTCAATATTCAATAAAATATTAATTAAATTGAATAAAATCATTATCTATAAATGAACAAATAATTAGTGAAGGGTATCATGCTTTTTCTGGCAGGTGAATCAACAAAATGTGCATTTGTGAAAATTGATAAACAGGGACATGTTTTGTGCACGTGAGGTTAGTTTTGAAACTTCCAATAATCAGACTTGAGATAATGCGATGTTATCTAAGTGACAATGTGTTTTTATTTCATGGATCGACTTTTGTTCTTCAGAACAACAGTTATGGTAATTGAATTTTTAATGAAATATACTGAAATAAGATCCACCACCATTATTTTCTTACCCTGAATCATGCATACTGTACTAGTTAACATATATGACACTAACTACTTATATGCTGTACGATGTATATAATGTTCAGAGTGAGGGTGAACCAGAGAAGGGACGTGTGTAAAGAGTATACAAGATATAAGATAGCATAGTTACCTTCTAAACATATGAACAAAAAAAAAGGAGAACATTTTAACAAATTTAGAGGGCTCAAAAAAACATCCACAACAAAATATTGTTTCCAACAACTTATTTAGAAGAAAAACAACATTTTAACTGAATATTTTACAGTATATACAATTGTACTGTTTTTTTTCCATCCAGATTTAACTGAAGGTTTACCATGGTAGCAAGCAAACATATTTGGAAGAAATTATGACATACAAATGAATGTCAATTTAATAATCTAACAATGTAAAACCTGTTACAATTCATTCTTGATGGCCTATACACTTACCACTGTCCAAAACGGCGTCAAACGGCTTATCGTACATGTCTAGGTAGTCCTGGGGTCGGACTAGACAGGGGTCATTGTCTTCACACAGGTAGTGTAGGACAGCTGTAAGACAGACAGACATTATTACCATAGGTTAATTATATAATTACACTGGCCGTCTACCAACCTACAATATGCTGTAATACACTGATCCTATTCACAACGGTAAACAGAAAGCAGCTTGCTAGATGTATACCTGATTTTATGTCTGTCACAAATGTATCATATCTTATATTTACAAGAAAAAGTTGTATGACTGATTCCACAATCTGTTTTGGCTATCACATTTATATATACAGTACTGTACCTTGTTGGGGCAGCAGATCTGGCACTCTCTCATGTAAGCTATCCATCAAGTTCTTCAAATTCAACTGTTGATATTAAGATTAATATTATCTATTTCATGCATAAACAAAATTTTAACACAATTTTTAATTTCATCTACATTTCCATTACCCAGTTTTATCCAAGAATACCGTAGCAGTTTTATTTGGGGATTTTGAAATGATCTTATAATAACTTGGCCATTTTGTGTCTGGTGGTTGATTGTCTCCCTTTGACTACTATTTAATTATGGTATGGATGCAAGCACATTTTTTTAGTTTTCAGCTTTTCAGACAGCTGAATCCCTGTGCCAGGTATATACTTCAGCTACCCATCTTTATATTTATGGCTATATGTTGCATACCAATCAAAATTACCTTTCATTCATATTTTGAAAGATAGTTCCGTGGTGAAGTTTCCGTTGCATTCAAGATGGTTTTCAAACAATATGGTCAATTATACTTGATGGGTCATTACAATAATGCCATTCAGTTTCAAGACCTAAGTTAGGACTTGATTTGATATAAAACACAGTTCAAAGGCTTGTATTTAAACCATGTGGATTGTACATATTCTCGTGGGTGACTGACAATTAGGAAAATTCAGCTTCAAATATTGAAAACTGGAATCTAAGTCTAGCACATCTACTTCATGTATTGAAAAATCATTTATTGAAAAATTAAGATTGGCCTTAGTTTACACTTATAATTGAATGGTTCTATGTGTGAAGCCCATGTATGTGTTTTTGTCCTATCAGTGAGATTTCAGTTACCGACAGCTTTGAAGCCAATATTATGAATTATTTTGCTCAATGATACTGTTTGGGTGTGCCAGACAATTGCCTAACTAGTTACATCAGTTAAGGTTAAATGTCTAGAAGTTACACAGTGGTCTTGTCTGTTAACTAAACTTTGCTTCATGTTTTGGGATATTCAAAATATATTTTTCTTTATTTACCAACAAAATCTGATTTCTAGATTTCAAAGATTCAGGTATCAAATCAGATGATTTGGCATTGCTGTTTGTTGATTGCCAAGCTGATTGAGTTACTAATACACTTTTAAGGTTCTAGCATATTGCCAACATAATTAGAGATGTAGCAAGCACTTGTCTTAGCTTATGGCATTTTCAAGATGACTTTCTAGTATGAGCTGCGTTTCAGACAAATGTGTATGTAGCTTGATTAGCTGATACATACACATGTACATCTGGGGTCTACGAATATCTCAGGAGACTGAAAGGTTAGGCTTCATATGACCAATACCTTCGGGGTCTTTGCAAGGTGATTGCCCAGCTTGAGTAACTGTATGAGAATTTCTATGACAATCTTGTCTGTTGACTCATTGCTGTCGTAACTTTCCATTCTTGCAGCCTGTATGTCTAAGGTGCGGAAACTCCACTGGCCATAAAGTCGATGAGGAATGTAGGAATGTCAAGGTCGGTAATATAATAAATGGCATTTTACCAATTCACTCAAAACATGCATTCTATTAAGCTTATCAAAAAAAGAAGTCAATTTACCTACTGGGTAATATATCAGTTTTAGTTATTGAGTTGTTATGCTGAAACTATGAATCTATGTTATTGTTTTATTTTGGAATACTAGGTAATCAACAGAATGTTCTTAAGTTGATTTCCAAGAAAAAAAAAGTACCTAGATTTTCACAAAGTTGAATAATTTTAAGGTATTATTCTTCTTTGATGAAAAATGTGGCATGCATCAAAGCGTGACTAAATCATATCCTAACTTAAATAACAATGAAAATAATTAAGCAAGAAACCTGCAAACAAAATTTACTACTTTTATGTCATAATTTGCAAATGGTTGTTTTTGATTATGCATGAGACAAAAACAATGTAACATTTCTTCCAGTTTTAAAATATTGTGTTCTTTATGATGTATGTGTAATACCTAGATTAATAACATGTGCTATTTATGCAATTGATTATACATGTAGATATTGTCACACTTAACAGTTGTAAAGATCAGCAAATTGTGAGTACTTCAGCATTGAATTGAAACAATTCTATACAACCATGATCAGGAATTCAGTTGGACATGTAGGAAGCAGAGTTTTTAACAAATAGACACACACTGTGAAAGGATATGTCATGGGAGATGATGAGTATTTTGCCGGATTCAAAAAGCCCACTGCTGTCATTAATGTTAGATTGTATGTCCCTCACCGTCTCTGTAATCAGATCTGTGGAAGTCTGGAACGAAATCAGTCTGGTTTTGATTAAAACTATAAATATAGTATGTACATACATGTATCTATATTGAACATTCTAACAAAAATAAATGTTTCATTAATAAGGTTGTTCTAATTTCAAATAATCACCCACTCCTTTAAATTTGTTATCAAATCCACAAAAGTATTATGATGTACATGATTCCACTGTAAGTTTTTCAGGCAACAGCTATTACTGCAGTTAAATTGGAAAACTTATTTCATTCTTTTACAGAAACAACATCATTCCATTTACAATTGTGGTTACTCTGCAAAAAAAAAGAACAGCTATTCTCTCCTACACCCAGCATTGTACAGGAATTCAATGGGCTATGAACTGCAATCCCCATCATTTTGTACAGAGAAGGATAACAGTGTCGAATTCAATGGGCTATGAACTGCAATCCCCATCATTTTGTACAGAGAAGGATAACAGTGTTGAATTCAATTGGCTATGAACTGCAACCCCATCCTTTTGTACAGAGAAGGATAACAGTGTTGAATTCCATGACAATGGTTTGTACCTGGTGTATGTGACTGGCACACTTACCTCAACAATATGTACTATATGTTTAAGGTAGACAAGCAGAAGTCCTGTGATCACCTCCGATGACTGCTGAACATTCTGGAGATTTTTGAAAAATCTTTCATAGTGACCTGAAAATAGAAATGGAAGAAGCATGCAAAAACCATTTGAAGTTGAAGTTTTATAAGGTGCTAGTTCATCAATGATTTATGTCCAAAGCTAAATCTAAGTAAATTGTTTCATATTACACAGTGACACACACAAATTACATACTATGCATCGTCTGTTATTCTTATGTCAACTTCACAGTGATAGAATTTAGCATACAATAATAAGAGACCCTTTTACAAATAATATTAAAATAGGAATTGAACATTTTTTAATTGTCATGCAGCTCACGCTGGTAGGAACTGCCATACCTTAATTGATGTTATATAATTTTACAAGTATTTGTTAATATATGAATATATGAATATCTCTTTACTTCCAATCTCTGCTCTGTCTTCCGTGCTTGTTTTTAGTTTGGCCACATACACAAAACGGTGAATCAAGTTTTTCTGAAGAAAAAAAAATGAAAAATATACATTTCAATGAAATTCAACAAATTATATGATATATATACTTATATGTATCAATCGTAAAATTCTAACTATACACCATTCAGGAAATATTTTTGAAGTCATTTACAGTGTGTAATTACTCTTCAATGACCATAATTACCAAACCCATGGTAGGGATTTCACATGAAATTTCAAAATAGTTTCTTTTAGGCCAATCAAACTTGATCCTGTCATCAGCCTTCTTCTTCGTTTTGCCTTTTTTGGTGATATTTCTCCTGTCCTGTTTCGGTGAGGGTGGTCCATGTCCATTGGACTCCTCCAGTTCCACTTCCTCACCCAAGTCTCTAACAACAGCTTGTTCGGCCATTAATATAGGTCAATGTGACTTGTCCAATTTGGTGTCGTTAGCTATATACAACAGTTTATGTAACAGAACTCATGCAAATAAGAAACACTGAGTTATATACTGTCAGCGTTTAAAATCCTGTGTTGAATATCCCACTACAATACTGTGTGATATACTGTTACACAACTACATATAGCATTAAATCAGTTCACCGGCATATTCACAGTCAGCACAATGTGTACTTCACTATCTAATGTACATTAATGTCCCCACAAAGACATATTAAAACCTTGTTGATGCCATGGGAACTCTGTATGTAATCAGCCTGTTACAATGACTGTCAGGCTGTGTCAATAGAAACTCGGGCACAACTTTCTACACACACTATACATTGCAAGGCAAATGTTTAATTTAGATATATGTAACAAAAGACTAAATCCAGCACTGAAAAAGAACAGTTGCTTTCATACACCTGCTCAAGTGAAAGCCTGATGATCTATCAATAATTTGTAAGCTTTTCAACCTGAATGATGTTTGGCAGTTTAACTATGAGAACTGTGGACAGACTGAGATAACCTGGGATAGCTATAGTGTTATCAGTGGCTGTATTGACCTACACAACACATAACAGAATGGTCCGTGGTTCCCTTCTAATGGAAAATGCAGGCGACAATGATATAGTACTGTTCAAACACATCCAATATCAGAAAGTGTACATAGCAACATTGAGCATAGGCAATTCAGACTTTTCATTATGAGCAGCACTTTTACTGAATGCTATATAACATCCCATTTCTTGCAAAACCTAGCTTATTAACTTTAGACTAGCGATGAAGGGGAGAACATCACCCGAGGAACTTAGAGAAAGGGTGTTGAAAAGGAGACAACGACAATGGGAACAATGAACAAAGAGAAGGTTAGTGATTAGGTAGAGAGAGTGGTACATACAGATGTTAGAGAGAGGGTGGCAATGAGGAGACAATGATGGATACAGAATCTAGAGAAGGTTAGTGATAAAGTAATGACAGTGGTACATACAGAAGTTAGAGAGAGGGTGGCGATGAGAAGACAACAACGGATACAGAATCTAGAGAAGGTTGGTGATAAAGTAATGACGGTGGTACATACAGAAGTTAGAGAGAGGGTGGCGATGAGAAGACAACAACGGATACAGAATCTAGAGAAGGTTGGTGATAAAGTAATGACGGTGGTACATACAGAAGTTAGAGAGAGGGTGGCGATGAGAAGACAACAACGGATACAGAATCTAGAGAAGGTTGGTGATAAAGTAATGACGGTGGTACATACAGAAGTTAGAGAGAGGGTGGCGATGAGAAGACAACAACGGATACAGAATCTAGAGAAGGTTGGTGATAAAGTAATGACGGTGGTACATACAGAAGTTAGAGAGAGGGTGGCGATGAGAAGACAACAACGGATACAGAATCTAGAGAAGGTTGGTGATAAAGTAATGACGGTGGTACATACAGAAGTTAGAGAGAGGGTGGCGATGAGAAGACAACAACGGATACAGAATCTAGAGAAGGTTGGTGATAAAGTAATGACGGTGGTACATACAGAAGTTAGAGAGAGGGTTGCGATGAGGAGACAACAACGGATACAGAATCTAGAGAAGGTTGGTGATAAAGTAATGACGGTGGTACATACAGAAGTTAGAGAGAGGGTGGCAGAGGAGACAATGACGGATACAGAATCTGGAGAAGGTTAGTGATAAAGTAATGACGGTGGTACATACAGAAGTTTGAGAGAGGGTGGCGAAGAGGAGACAATGACGGATACAGAATCTAGAGAAGGTTAGTGATAAAGTAATGACGGTGGGACATACAGAAGTTAGAGAGAGGGTGGCGAAGAGGAGACAATGACAGATACAGAATCTAGAGAAGGTTAGTGATAAAGTAATGACGGTGGGACATACAGAAGTTAGAGAGAGGGTGGCGAAGAGGAGACAATGACAGATACAGAATCTAGAGAAGGTTAGTGATAAAGTAGAGACATTGGTACATACAGAAGTTAGAGAGAGGGTGGCGAAGAGGAGACAATGACAGATACAGAATCTAGAGAAGGTTAGTGATAAAGTAGAGACATTGGTACATACAGAAGTTAGAGAGAGGGTGGCGAAGAGGAGACAACAACGGATACAAAATCTAGAAAAGGTTAGTGATAAAGTAATGACGGTGGTACATACAGAAGTTAGAGAGAGGGTGGCGATGAGGAGACAACAACGCATACAGAATCTAGAAAAGGTTAGTGATAAAGTAATGACGGTGGTACATACAGAAGTTAGAGAGAGGGTGGCGATGAGGAGACACCAACGCATACAGAATCTAGAAAAGGTTAGTGATAAAGTAATGACGGTGGCACATACAGAAGTTAGAGAGAGGGTGGCGAAGAGAAGACAATGACGGATACAGAATCTAGAGAAGGTTAGTGATAAAGTAGCTAGAGACGGTGTTACATACAGAAGTTAGAGAGAGGGTGGCGAAGAGAAGACAATGACGGATACAGAATCTAGATAAGGTTAGTGATAAAGAAGTGACAGTGGTACATACAGAAGTTAGAGAGAGGGTGGCGATGAGGAGACAATGACGGATACAGAATCTAGAGAAGGTTAGTGATAATCAAAAGACAATGTTACATACAGAAGTTTGCAGGACTTTGAGAAGTGAAGACAATGTTACATACACAATTAAGTGAAGAATAGTGATGGATAGGAGAAAATGCTTCATATACAACTAAATGAAGGGTAGTGATGGTTAGGAGACAATGTTACAAACATAACTTAGTGAAGGGTAGTGATGGTCAGGAGTCAATGTTACATACAGAACTTAGTGAAGGGTTGTGATGGTCAGGGGTCAATGTTTTTTTACGGAACTTGGTGAAGGGTAATGATGGTCAGGAAACTATGTCACATACAGAACTAAGTGAAGGGTTGTGATGAAGAGGAGACAATGCTACATACAGAACTTAGTGAAGGGAAGTGATGGTCAGGAATCAGTGTTTTTTTACAGAACTTAGTGAAGGGTAATGATGGTCAGAAAACTATGTTACATACAGTATTAAGTGAAGGGTATTGATGTCAGGAGACAATGTTACATACATTATTAAGTGAAGGGTATTGATGGTCAGGAGACAATGTTACATACAGAACTTAGTGAAGGATAGTGATGGTCAGGAGACAATGTTACATACAGTATTAAGTGAAGGGCATGATGGCAAGGAGACAATGTTACATACAGTATTAAGTGAAGGGCATGATGGCAAGGAGACAATGTTACATACAGTATTAAGTGAAGGGCATGATGGCCAGGAGACAATGTTACGTACAAAACTAGGTGAAGGGTATTGATGTACAGGAGACAATGTTACAACCAGTATTAAGTGAAGGGCATGATGGCCAGGAGACAATGTTACGTACAAAACTAGGTGAAGGGTATTGATGGTCAGGAGACAATGTTACATACAGTATTAAGTGAAGGGTAATGATGTCAGGAGACAATGTTACATACATTATTAAGTGAAGGGTATTGATGTCAGGAGACAATGTTACATACAGAACTTAGTGAAGGATAGTGATGGTCAGGAGACAATTTTACATACAGTATTAAGTGAAGGGTATTGATGTCAGGAGACAATGTTAAATACAGTGTATTGATGGTCAGGAGACAATGTTACATACAGTATTAAGTGAAGGGCATGATGGCCAGGAAACAATGTTACCTACAAAACTAGGTGAAGGGTTGTGATGGTCAGGAGACAATGTTACATACAGTATTAAGTGAAGGGTAGTGATGGTCAGGAGACAATTTTACATACAGGGCTTAGTGAAGGGCATGATGGCTTAAAGTGGATAGTGAAATTATAGTTTTGAAACAACAAGATTGGCCTTCCAGAGAATGAGATTGGCCTTCTAAATGAGCTTTTGATTGTGTCACACAGCATAATATCTTTACCAATGTTTTAGCAATTTCTGAGTAAAAATAATAATTTCTATATTGTTATTTTTTCTTTAAATCCACATACTTATATTGAAAATTTACAAAATATTTATATATATATATGTAGTAATTATTTTAAGTTTCATGAAAAAAACACCTGATAACAGCAAAAATTTTTTTTTAATATTTAAAACTAATTTTGTTAAAGAAATTCATAATTTCATTATTTGTTTGTTGAACTCAACATTCCAAATATTCTTCAAGCAAAAAAGACTTCAAAATGTTTTTTGAAACTGATTTAATTGAATGATATTTTCATATAAAGAATATGTTTGAAAGATATGAAAATTTCAGGATAAATTTATTTTTTTCATGAATAAAAATGTTTATATAAATAGAACATTTATTATCGGTTTTATTATATTTTTACTAAAATCATGCCGTTTGGGTATGTTAATATGAAAACTGTTTACAGCATATTGTTTTGGTTAAACAATAGCAGTATATTGTGTAGTAGAACATTTCTTTGAAGTTGCAGCCTACACCCAAATAACTAAAACTTAACTTTAGTGTGCATCTACAATGTAGGTGGTCAGCTATTGATTGACAGCTTCACTGTACATATACTGTTGTTTTCATCTGAAACCTCACTTCATTGTAATCTTGTCTCGTTATGCCTAGCTGATAATGATCACCCAGCATCAGCATAAAGATCTTAAGTAATTTAATTTATAAACAAATACCACACTTAATTAATAAATGAAATGAGAAAGTAGATATTTGTGTCAAAGTTTTGTGTCGGAGGTCAATTTTAAAATTGATGCACAAAATATATGAGTAGAAGCTTTTTTCAGTATTTTCAGCCCAAAAAAGTACATGCGCAAATTACATAAGTGCGCAAATTACACTGGATTTTACGGTAAGTGTTAGTGCCTAAAGCTTTAGTATTGGTTTAGTGGCCTTAATCTTAAGCTTTGATCTCTGTCAGTGTAACCAGACAGTGTCTGATCTGTATATTATAAATTTTAAGAAAAATGGAGGTGTTGAAATCCTATATATTATGGGATTGCGGTACTACCAAGATTGAAGCACAAGAAAAAATAGCCTGAGATCTTCCCATAATAACTACGTACAGTACAGTTTGGGAACACAATTTAGTCAAGTCAATGGACTGAATAGTAAAATCATGCACGTAAAAGTGAATCTATCTTAGAATGTACCGGCTAAAGGAACAGATGTATCACTGTATGGTCTATCAAATTGTAAACAAACTACATTTACTGATTTAGGGTCTTACATAGATGTCTATATGAAATAATGTTTATTCGTATATCTTGGGCAATAAATGAAGGTGTCATTATTTTTACTTTTAAAGAGACATGGCTTACCTTTACATTATGCCATTGTAAACAAAGATGCTTTGGTTCAAACTTTCATCATGTGCATGACTTGATGGGAAATTGAAACCGTTCCTGCGATCAATGATGTTCCATCTTGGACTTGTTTAGTAACTTTTACACAAAATAAAGTGACTGTTAAGATGTCACGACCTTCATAAAATGCCTACCTTATTTAAAGCTCTATTTTTATCCTCGATGACCTCTAATAAAGAGGTTCTATGAGCTTCAATGACTGAATCTTCTCGTTCATGTTCCATGGCAGACGCCATCTTGTTCGTTTTTGTTGCTATAGAAACCGAACATTTCGGGGTAAAATGATTTCGAAATCATATTTTCAAATTAAATTTTATTCAGATTTAAAAGGTTCAATAACATATTAAGATTAAATATTGTTTCAAATAGGTTAAATGTACAAAATTTCAAACTTGCATAATAAACAAAGCCAAATACCGGACCTTGATATCCGAAATTAATATTGGTGATACAGAATTCGGAATGGATTATAAGCAAGAATAATTCGCAAAATATCATAAAATTTTATGTGTTAATCAATTCGTCTGATAGTATTTACACTGGTATTCAAGAACAAGCACTAGATCAAAAACAACAAATAATCCGGAAACCCGACCGGAAACTCAATTCTGATATTAGTTTTATATCCCTTCGGAATAACTTCCATGCGGACGTTTACATTGTATGTATATTGACTCAGATACGTCCCTGATTGACTTGTATTTTATCACAATTTACGTCAACCCTGACATGCAATATATTGGCCAACTCCCTATTTAGTATCCCAATACAATCAGATGAATGCAGTAATGTGGCGTTCATACGCAAGCATTGCAACCCTACTGTATTTTACAGTGTAACGTTTTACAAACGTAAGTAACGGTAATGTTAGCCTATCATTTATCAATCTAAGTCACTTTGCCTTCGTTTACTTGGGAATTTTCTTATGAATTAAGTGGTTTACATGGCCACATCCACCTCTATTTGTGGCCTCGCCGCCATGCTTCCCCATGAATAAGCTCCACACGACCATTAGTATGTAAATGAATTTTAGATAACATGTCATTTTGTAACGTTTAGTTGGGTCGCAAAATAGATTGACCTGTTAATTATAATAACAGTAAACTATTTTATGAAAACAGCATTTACGCCTCATTATCGACAAAGTTATTGTCGTTATGTACCTGGTTATATATATCCAAATTACGTACATCTAAATTTGGATGTTTTATTGGGACCATTAAATTTGACTTATTGAGGGCAGAGACGTATAATATACGTCTCTGTTGAGGGGTTAAAATTCTGGATGACCATACCATGATTAAGGGGGCTTGTTGAATCTTAAAACAAAATTATATTTCATTTATTCATTTAAGCTATTGGTGAATTAACATATTCACAAACTCGGTCGCACATGGTTTGTTGTTTGTCCATCTTTCAGTCGGATATGATTTAGGAAATTATTTTTGTACATAAATATTTATATATCAGCTAGTTAAGAGTTTTCCCCCCTGAAGTAATTCTTATATATATATATATACCAGTATATCTATTATAATATTTTAGGTACTGGGAATCCAAACCTTTGTGAATGATGGATGATCTGATGAAGGCAGAATTCTCCAACTTGGTGAAATTTGTAAAGCCATCCAGTGACAAAGCAGACTCGGAGTCATGTAAGGGACAACTCCTTGAATCTAACTGTGAACAGCCCTTGTCTGGAAATGATGCAGTCCTTTTTTACAAGGACATCATATCAAGTCATTCAGGCAAGTCAAAAGACCGGAACAGTAGTGGACAGAGTGATGACACATCGCTAGAACAGGTCAATCCAAAACGCCATAAGAGGGGACAGCTGGAACTGTGCAAACAACCTAGTAATATGTTAGTTCAATGCCAGAACTTAAATGTGGGAACTTTTCTGACAAGTTCCCAGAATGGAGACCTAGCCAGAGTCGAGGCGTGTTTGACCGCCGGTGTGGACGTAAACAGTCAGGATCGGTTTGGGTGGACAGCACTCATGTGTGCTGCATGTAGTGGACAGAGGAGAGTGGTAAAACAGCTATTGGGCAGTGGTGCCAATACACATCTCACTGCATCAGGTGGCAAAACGGCTGCTTCCATTGCTTCTGATGCAGGTCACTGTGGGATAATGAAATTGATATCAGATTTTGACCTGAGTAAACGTGAGGTCATTGATGGAAGAACAAGGTCCTCTTCCACTGGTACAAATGACCTAGAGGTGCATACATTCTACTGTGATGTTTGTAAACAGGACATCAAAGAAGCCTCACAAACACATCATCAAACATCAACAGTACATCTATTTAATAAAAAGGTGAAAGCAAAACCTCACAGTTTCTTGGAACATTCCAGGAACAAAGGGTATCAGATAATGAGGCGAACTGGATGGGATGGTGAGAAAGGCTTGGGGTCGGAGGGTCAGGGACAGAAATTTCCAGTTAAGACAGTTATTAAAAAGGACAGGGCTTGCTTAGGATCTGACAGATCTAAGGAGAAAGCTAAGGTTACACATTTTGGCCCAAGAGACATCAGTGCTGTTAAGAGAAATGTTCATGTGACTGAAAGGAAAATGTCTGCCAGAACTTTAAGCAAAAGGGCTCAGAAAGCAAAGGAGAGAAAACTAAACCAATGGGAGAAAAAGTTGAGATTTGAGTTCAATTTAAATGACTAATTCTTTCATATTCAAAAGGTTGGTTGCAAATTTTCCCATGTAAGCAGTGATTATTAGTGCATGTTTGTACTTGTATGTCTTTTTCCAAATGTAATCAATAAAAGTATGGAATATACTCATTAACAATATTTTACTTATTACTTTTACTTCATGATCTTTATTTGCTGGTAACTGTTTTTCTTCCATTCATACTTAAAACCAAGAAAACAACAAAAATAGTATGTAATTGATTTTGCATAAAAATCTGTTTTTTATTCTCTCAAAGATGCCACACAGTCATGATCACCCTTTAAATGCAAATAACTTCACATGCAAATGAATTATTTAATTTCAGCAGAAATACAGTCACATGTTTACTAACCAGAATATTTTAAAGTGAAAGATTTGTCTCCCCTGTTTACAGTCTAGGAATTCCTTGAGCATAGATCTAGACAGCCAAACCATTAAGCTCCTCAGATGTCACGCATTGATTCTCGTAAATATGTGTGTCCTAGGTTCATTGTATGGGCTGTACTTATAACTTTGAAGAGGTGGAAGAACTTGACTTTTAACTGAAAGTACATAAACCTACAGGACTCACGGGTGCTAAATTATAGACTAGCTGCAAACTAGAGTCCACAGCAAGCCCCACCACCAGGTGGTTAAGCAGAGTACACACTGTTAATATATCCTGCACAACATAATAAGGCACATGTTGCGATGTTGCTATGAGGTCAAGAAAATTATGAAGTTCTCTTTGTTTTCTGTATATATTTGAAATATTAAATGATGTATATTTGCATAAATTTCGGTACTATTTACTTGTTTCTGAATGATTAAACTTTTAAATTAAGTTACTGTCACTCAGTCTTGACTTGAGTTTACATACGCTGATACAGTTAGAAATTGAATAGACCTAAATTTAAATTTATTTCGAGTTTCAGTGTTGTCTGACATACACATACTATACAATGGTTGGTCTGTACATAGTTTACATTAAACATATCTAATTTATATGACATGCTTTTGTTTTTCAATATCATTTTAATTTCTTATATAAGTAAAACTTGTCAGATCATACACCATGTACAAATACAAATTTTTGTTTTTAAATATTATTTTAATGATTTATCTGACTAAAACATATCAGATCATGTGTAATTACAGTGAGTATGCTTGAAGACAAGTACCCTTCAGACTCTTGGGTAAGCAAATGCCACAATTAAAGGAGGGGCTGGTATATACATGTATTAAGTACCCCAACAGAGATCAACAATCAGAAGCAATACCAACAGGCCTACATTGTTCAAACTACTAAGTTGAAGAAGAAGACCTTATTCATGCTGCACACTCCATCAAAAACAAAATTGATAACACAACTCAAGTAGTATTCCTGACTGATACCCTCTCTGTGCTACAATTGATTTGACAAACGACAAGCTTAACCTCAATTTGAACAAGCTTTATACACCATCAAAAGTCTGACAACAGTTCTACAGTGGATTCCTTCTCACTGTGGAGTTTGGGGTAATGAACAAGCCGATAAATTAGCAAAGAATGGTGCTGAACAATAACAGGAAGAAAACCCAGTCTGCTACACAGAGATGAAGACTATCATCAAATCTCTGTTCAACACCCATCAGCAACAATACAGTTACCACCAACAAGATCTGACCAAACTACCATCTTCCGACAGGACACAACAGACTCAATCAACATCTATACAACGTCATGAATGTTGTTTCATCTCCAATGTGTCCTTGTTGAGAAGCAGAGCAGGATACTGCACACCTCTTACAGTCATGGAAGATTGTGAGATTATTAATGTCATTCATTGTGTTTTGTAAGGGGAGGTAACTCTTTGTGAAGTAACATTTTAGCATCATCTCCGGAGTGAGGGGTGATATTTAGCATGAACATCTTTCATTTTACAATAGAATAGATTGGTTCTGAAATTGTGGTAAAAAAAAAGAGAAAACAAATTCTCCCATAAATACCATGTTATTGACCTTGTACGCTTTTTTGATCGTTTTCAGGAAAATGCTAAAAAACAATTGTGAAATCTCACAATTTCAAAAAATTCTTAAAAATCCAATTTTGAAGATAACATGGTTCTGATTGCTGTTTTGTAATCAGGTTATGGTAGTCTCTAAGAAAATGACAAGAAATAAATTACTTTCTGTTTAAAAAAAAATAGTTGGGCATAGCTAGTTATAGCATTTCTGTAGAGATAATGGAGGATAAGCATATCTATTGTCGCTCGCCTATTCGCCTATGCCACCACATACGAGATATACCTAGTGTACCGATATGCGTTCAGGGAACAGCATACCTCAAATATTATTTCTAACCGAAATATTTCCAGGAAACAAAACTTAAACATATGCATTACTTACCTGTATTGTACTTGGTGTATATATAATGGTCATTGTTTGTGTTATATATAGGTTCTAACGTGTAAGATTCAAAATGTTACCTTACATTTATGATAGATGTACTAATGTACTGGCTTGTTTATACGTACGAGATCCTTATTGGTGACTGACATAGCAGAAGTTTTAAACATTGAAACACAAAGAAACATTCCATATTTATTTCTGTAATTCCTTCACAAAAGTCTGACGTGTTATCCAGTTGACCATTTCTAATGAAGCAGGAACAACGATCCTTCATGTACTTGTTTTCCATATGTGTCCCATTTTTGAGCACTTTCCAATCAGGGAACCACATTTTTGCAAATACAAAATATGTATTTTTCGGTCAGTTTTGAAATTTGTTGACTTAAAATGATGTCGTTTTGTATAAGCAGTACTTCACATTTGTCGGAAATGTCACAGCTGTTAAACAAACCGAAATTGTATGCAGTACCAATGAATTGTTTACAATGACATAGCGCGAACATTTCAATATTAATGTTACCACATTGTCAGTAATTTCCCGTTATTATAATCTAAGCCGTATTTTTGATACATGTATGCCTTGAATATTGAATAAATTCTCAAGATGGCAGTAGGGAACACTTTTAACAAATACACTTTATTCAAGGATACAATTTAACAAAAATGAAGATTTGAAACATGAATAAGATATAGACCTTTCCATTGATATACACTTTTAAATCTGGTTTAGTTTAAACAGTATTTTATTCAATATATGGACGTGACAAAATAATACAAAAATCAACAAAGAGGTTTCGAAAACAAGAACATAAGTACTTATATCAATTTGTCTCCTCCTGGTTTATTTATAGATATACGTGCATATTGATACCTCTATGCCTATCTTCTATAGAGCTCTGATTATATTGCCTTTCTGCAACAGTCCACTAAATTAATCAGCCTTAGCAGTTCAGAACTCAATAAGTATGTATTACACACAAACATAAACAAACTTGAACAATACTTGTTTTAAATTACTAATCGCAATGTTCACTCAGCCTGAATATAGAGAAGTATTAATACAACAGTGATGGTTAGCTCACTTACCAGTTTATTCTGATTTTATAATATTACAAGTTACATTAAGTATACACTCATTCTGTCATCTAGTAATGTCGATAAAAAAAGTTACAAAGTATTGGTTCTGTTTTATTATACGTCACTCTAATATCACAAACGTCAATATCCACTTCTGATCAGGCCGACAATGGTCGAGCTCAGTGGACCATAATTCTTGGCATTGCCAGAAGACAATTTACCAGACTCGTAGATTTGCCATGTTCCATCAGTATTTCGTGACAACGAACACATGATAACAGCCTGCGAAGTCCTTGCATGTTGAAAGGTTGTTTTGCAAAGATCAACAGTAGGATTATTAGCCTGATAGAATTTCAAACTCGGATTTGGGTATCTGGCAATGTTGGGAGAATTCCATGCACTCAATGTGAAAAACATTTTGGTGACCTCAGTCGGTATGTTTTTCAGATGAACATTGATGGTGTGATGGCCAATCCTTTTAATTTTATTCATAATATCACCAGAGTGCTTTAACCCTGACAAAGGGAAAGGTTTGATACTTTGTTGAGACCCGCTCTTCCGATATCCACGATAGTCGCATACTGACTTGAGTGCTGTTCCCTGGTATACCAAGCAAGACGCGTCCAGAAAATCTGCACCTGTCACAGGGTATCCCCAGTGCAGATCAAAGACCACGTGATCGAAGGCCTCAGGAATCGAATAGAGTAGAACCATGAGATAGACAGTGGCATTAGGTGGTACATCGAAGTCTGAGAGGGTGGCAATGCTTCCACTGTTCGTTCTGTCCTGAAAGTACAAAACCATAAAAATAACACAATATGTTCTGGTCCTGTGACAACAATGTGATAAAAACAATATGCGATAGAAACGAGCGCATGATATAAAACTGAAACGTGTTACAACTTACATGTACATAATGATGAATGAAAAAATGCATCACCTATTAAAGGCTATATTGTAATATTCAAAAGGCCGCGATGATAAATGAATTCTAAACTACTAAAACATTATGATTGTGTTAAACCTAATATTGTTTTAATGCCTTTTCTTATTAGTCATGATATGCTTATATCGAGATATATACAGCGCTAAGCCATGGATTTGAAACGGACAAAAATAATCATAAGTAATAGTATAACGTTAAAAAGAGTCATACATACTGATAATTCGGTGTTGTTGTAAATGAGTTTCTGCTTGTTGACGTCGTGTTTCAATCTAAGTTTAATGTTTTCCTTCAGCTGAAGGACTGTCATGGTGGAGTAGTAGGGTACCGAGACAGATTCTCCTGTGAGGACAGTCACGTGGATAAGTTCTGACCCCTGGGTCACTACTGACGGTGTGTATGAACTTTCGTACACAGTGAACATTGCGTCCAGATTGGCTTCCAGCAGTTTCATGGTGTGGCCGTCTGGATCCACTGATTCTTGGCACCCGGTAAAAGGACAGCTCTTCTCCTTTTTGACGTATTCGACCACACACTGTAAGAAAACCATGTTTCGATAAGGCAACAGCAAAGGTATTCTCTTACGTGCCAAAAGCCAGTTATTATAATGTCCCGAAATCTATACGAGTTCAGTTCTCGAAACTTTTCAACGGTTTAGAATCGAGACACCGGTCATTTTACACTCTTTGCTTGACAAAGGGAACAGACGTTTTCGAAAGCTCACAAAAGAAGTTTTTCAATTCCTGTTTGTGTTCAAAACAAACTTAGCCTGCATGCTTCTTAATATTGTTTCCCAATTAAACATTTCAATGCTTATGTTTCCATTGAATACAACAAAGAGAATATATTTTTCTATCGTTCTTTGTGATCTCATTCGGTTTAAAATAGGTTTTTGAACAAACTGTTTTACCAAATGACGAGACAGACATTTTTTTCGGGCAGAAGATAGTATTTTCTAAGGTGACCAGTTCCGCCAGTTGACGAACGTCAATAGGAAACCATTCGGGAGTTTTCGACATAATTTTAATTCAACGTCTCAACATGATTGGTTTCGGAAATTTTAAACAGTTAGACGGAAAGACCCGAAGAGTTTTTCATATGAAAATATTCAGGTGTTTTAGTTCTAGCTTATTTTGAATAACAACGACGTTTTTGGTTGATAGGTTTATCGAAGGAGTGTACAAAGGAAATGTATACATAATATGATATCTTTATATAAAAAGTATCATGAACATTTAATATATAAAGATGTGTTGGTGAGATCTGATGCTAGTTTTATTGTCGTGAATTGTGTTGTATTTCTGCACTGACAGTATTTGAGATAACGGGCCATTTTTGAATACCTGGATGTGCATTTGTAAACTGAAAGAGGTAAAGGTGAAGTTGTGCATCCTACATTACACAATAAAAATGATCCAGTGAATTTTGAGAATTAATGCGTGAAATAATGTCACTATGTATTCCTATGTATTATCTCGGCGATTCATGTTACGTCGCGCCCTGCAGGGTCACCATGGATGCTGTGTGGAACCCTTTATCACCTGTGAATAATCTCTGCGATAATATAGCGGTTTTTTTTTTCTTCATGTGGATTGATTAAGAAGTTTTATTTCAAGAGTAAGTTTTTATTAGAGAGTGTGAAGTTCAAATTCTAGATCTGCGGTTTTATTAAAGGGTTTCATAATAAAAATCTGATGGTATACGAGAGTAAGGGAGCTCCGCGCAGGGATATGGGCCCAACCCCATCGGACGTTCCACTGCAACCGAGAGCGTGTCACATACATATTCAGGTAAGCGAAATGACACACATTGGCACCCGTCCCCAGCTGATGTCACGGCTGGTAAAACTGGCTAAAATCATTTGTCAATGCATTCTCACGTTCTGGTTTAAGTTGTTAACTGGAGGGAGCAAGTTATCTATTCCGATATATAAAATGACATTAAATATATCTATGTATGACAGAATAGTTACTACTAAATGTTATGCCGATGTTCATGTATACCCTTTCGAAAACTGCTCAATGTTCATAATGATTTTTTTTTATCTAACTTTAGACTGTTAATTAATGAAATATGTGAATACATTTGTAAAAACACAGATGTGGTATATTCGATTGTAATGTAAACAACATGCAATTAACAGCGTGTCTCAGCTCTACAGGATGGCGGGTGTTTTTCGTGATAAATATTAATCATTCCTAGAATAAAACAAGGTATCACAAGTGATACGAATTCCCACTCATTAACACATTGTGACATATGTAAGAGGAAATGAAGTAGCTAGAGCGATGACAAAGTTTTTTTCTTCTAAAAATAGTAACAGTGACCTTGACCTTTAATGTAGAAACCCGAAAGGGGAAGTTGTTCAAGGCATTACCTTGCATGAAGTTTCATGAAATTCCACTGAGGAATGAAGTCGACAGAGCGATGGCAATTGTTTTTGTAAAAATGGTAAACGTGACATTGACCTTTAACGCAGTAACCCGAAATGCCAACTTCTCCAAGGTATTGTCACACCAAACACTTGTTTCAAGTTTCATGCAATTCTGTTGAGGAATGAAGTCGGTAAAGCGACGACAAAGTTTTTTTTCTAAAACTATGTAACAGTTACCGTGACATTTAACATTGTGAAATCGGAAATGCGAACTCGTCCAAGGCATTACCTTACAAACACTTGCATGACGTTTCATGAAATTCCGTTCAATAATGAAGTCGCGAGAGTGATGACAAAATGTTTTCTTTCTAAAATAAGTAACAGTGAACTTGACCTTCAACGCAGAAACCCGAAAGATGTTGTCATACTTAACACTGGTATCAAGTTTCATGAAATTCCGTTTAGGAATGAAGTCGGTAGAGCGATGGCAAAGTTTTTACTAAAAATAGCTGAAGTGACCTTGACCTTAATCTCAGTAACCTGAAATGCGAACTTGTTCTCAAGATATTGTCAAACATAACACTGGTATCAAGTTTCACGAAATTCTATTTAGGAATGAAATCGGTAGAGTGATGACAAAGTTTTTTCTAGAAATAGTAACAGTGACCTTGACCTTCAACATAGAAACCCGAAACGCAAACTTGTTTAAGGCATTGCCATACCAAACACTTGCATTGAAGTTTCATAATGTTCCATTGAGGAATGAAGTCGGTAAAGCGATGACAATGAGTGTAACGTACGTACATGTACATACGGGCTGAATCCTATATCAACTCGAACTTTCGTTGCGAGGGGATAATATATCTTCAATCTTACCTGCATACATATTAAATTTGGGTGATCACAGTTGTCTGTTACATCACAGGGTGGAAACTCCGTTGACAATTTTTCAGTGGAACAATTTCGGCACAGCATGTTACTACGTTTTCAACCTATTAAAATCAACACGGTAAATATGATATATGTGCTACATAGAGGTGAATGCTTGATGATCGTTTACTGTAGTTATTGTAAATAGCATTAAACACTTGATCAGGGTAATGAATTCTGGAATGAGTGAGCATTAAAATTGTAAAACCTGTCGCTATCAAATATTTACAAGTCACTTGTGCTCACCAGATGACGTCACAATGATTCAAAATCTCCAAGCTAAGTGTGTCGTCTGATTCGAGAATATTTGGATGAAAGTGTTTACTTCTCCTTTTCTTCAAGTTACTAGTATATTTGGTACTTACTAATTATGACTTACCGGTTTAAAATATATTTCCCAACTAGATCATATTATACATTTTTACTCAATCCTCAATACTGCAGGGGGTACGTTCTCTGCACCCCTTGAAAAAGACTTGACAAAATTGAAGGCTCAGTGTGTGCCACATTTCGGATGAGGCGAAAAAGACTAGTTTAGTCCTATGAGTACATCAAACGAATCCCACATTACCGTAACTGTAAAATTGACTGGTTTTGAAGTCGAGTGTTGTTCCTCTGTAATCTTCGAAATACATGTATCAACCTAGTGATTGATCAAGTATTTTTTTTTACCTGATATCCATCAATTAGCTGGCAACATTACTGGCCATAACACCAGGGATCCACTTAATTATCTTTTTCACCTTAGTTTTAAATATACAAATCACAGGTCAAACTATACACTTCCGCCATTCATAGATTTGTCAAAATATTGTTTTCTTTATTATCAGTATTATCTTNTTTAAATCTCTTATTCAGCCCCAAGTCACTACCCCTTCTTATATTAAATGTTTTCTTGAATATGGGTCCAGAAAAGTAAATGTTATACATTGCCAATTACGAAACCGCAGTAGCTCTTTAAATTACGACCTTTTTAAAGCCCACCTTCGAGACAACTCTACTTGCGACTGCGGAAATGACTCGGAAGACTCTTCCCATTTCTTACTAAATTGTAAAAAATTTGACCAATCCCGTAATATAATGCTCCAATCCCTCGATTGGTATAACGAGATCACTGTTGAACACCTTCTCTTCGGAGATGCAAACCTTGACTACAATCTAAACATTCAAATTTGTAGGTCTGTACAACTGTTCATTTTAAGCTCCAAACGGTTTAACATGTAATACCCAATAGTCTTATTGAATAACCAGGATACCTATTTCGACTATTCTCATCTGTCTCTCCCCTCCACCTCCTCTCTTATTCCAGCCCCTCTCCCTTTTTCCAACACCAACGATCTCTGTGTACTAACTTCAATCTTAGCGTCCATCAATATCATAACCGTTTCCATATGACAAAGAGTGCGTGTCCGGTTTTCCTAATCTAGTCGGCTAAGTATGTAAGGCAGGAATTCACAAAAGGACTTGGAGTGACACAGGAGAAAGGCAAATGCGGCACGGAATGTGATTGAACTTTAGAAAAGCAGAAGGACATGTATGTATAGATTAGTTATACTGCTTACGCCGACTTGATTGGGAAAATCACGCACGCGATCTCAAGTAAACTCTCCGAATACATATTTAAAAACTATACGTTGGTGTCCCTAATCCTATCATTACCTCTTTTGCTGTTACCCATCTTTAACATCTTATATATATATACATATATGAATTGTATTAGGTTATTACGTGACTCATTAATTTTGTATATATATTTTCTGTTACGGAAAGGACGTAAGTAAGTTGCAATAACTTTTGTCCAATCCATTTGTCTTTTGTTGCAATAAAATTGATTTAAACTAAATCATATACTTGGTTTCATAGTGCGGTAAGAAGTTGCTGTTGCCTGACGGCCCCTCTCTGGGGGCCCCTTTGGAAACCGTTTCATCTCGCTCGCACCACTTGTGTTTACTGCCGAGTCAGGTGTCGTTATCGGCGCTATTTTTAGTAGGGTCTTTCCCGAACAATTCAAGTGGTCAAACTGGACATTTGGAACGGACTATGAATATGGGGATAGCGAGGTAACATAAGTGGAAGTGCATACAATACATACATTCATTAAAAAAGAAAACGACTTTTCACGTGATGTCCCTTTAAAAGTGTGTAGATAATTCTTAATTTATTAGTATATTGCTGATTCTTGATATATAAATATATCTAACTATAGTTATGGTTTTGACGTAAAGTCATGCAAAATTTTGAAACTAATACCGTTTTACTGATTGGAGACTTTGCATTAGGCCTAGTCGGAAGAAATATATCTGTTATTGTGAGAATTACTCTTGTACAATCATTTATACTTGGTTCACCGTCGATACGCATTCTGTATGGACTAGACAGCGTTCACTCTAACCGACACTTTGCATTGACTACTGGTATGCGTAGTGACCAATACATCGTGACTCTTTGACATAGGTGAAATGAGTGTATACCCCCATCTTACATTGAGTAGATTTCTGAGAACGCAAAGTGAAACTAAAAGAATGAACCTGTACAAACACTCTAGCTTGAGACTTATATTACCTACTAATGATATTTGTTAATCATATGTAAAGGAAACCAAACATCGACATACGTTCAGTTTGAATGACTTTGTTTAAGTACTCACGTGTTATGGTTTTAATGTCTCCGTAAACTCGGCTCTGTGAGCGCTCTGTTTCCGTTGGTGACTCACGATTTAGAATCACAGGACTAAACTATGTAACGTGACGTGTGCAAAACGTCCAGTGTCCGACACGGTAAGAGTATAACGTGTTGTTATTTACCTGTTCACTAAATGCTTATTAACACAAATACAGTGTTAAGTACCAGGTATGAAATTGTTGAGGACTATGTAGATATGCAGACGGATATACTTGTGATGTATTCTAGACGTTTATATCAAGAGAATTTCTGAAAACGCAAAAGCGAAACTAAAACATTCCTTGAAAACAGAAAGCCATTATCAGTCGCCGTTCAAGTTAGAAATCGTTTACACTAAGATTTATATGCATACGTGCAGTTTTCATACACTTTTCGATAGGTACTCACGTGTTACGGGTTTCAGGTCACAGGTCAACTTAGCTCGAACGAAGTCTCGCTATGTAGTATCACATGACTACAAGATGTAAAGTGTTCAAAACTACTGGAGGTCTATCGGATGCAGTTCAGTGTTATACACGGTAAGTTACACGTTTATTAACTAGCAGTAATTTAATAATATATAATCCCGGTACTAAAGAAAAGAGTAGAACAAAGAGAAAAGAACAATTTTGCAAAAGTAAAACCTAAACAAAGGCAGTCCTTGCTCGGAATGGATTACTTTAGGAGCGGGGTGGGTCCAGGGAAGGGGGCCCGGTGTATGTGTGTGTGTGATAACTTAAGTGTGCTTGCGAATTCTCCGTCCCCTCTTTGTTGTCACAGGCTAAATTTATGATAATTGTTGTCACAGGAATTCCTGTAATGATTTTAAATGATGATATCAAGGGATTTCTGAAACACAAAACGAAACTACAACAATTCATATACAATTTTGGAATCGGTCAGCATAATCATTATTCTTATTTCACAGTGTGAAATGCATTCTACTGAGCCCCTATTTGGAAGTAAGTGTAGGTGATTTCCACTCCGTAGTCAAAGGGTGGCCTTATAATTTCGTCAGTATGGCCGACTGTCTGGAGCATGCTTTAACTGGCCACTCATCACGGAAATCCAAAGGTGATTTGTTTTGTCAAGTATAACTTGACTGACGAAATGATGTCTGGTTAAAAAGGAGTATGTAACATGATGATACATGGAGAACGGCATTAAAACTAAAGGGTTTTTCATACAACCGGTTTGAATGATATATATATATATTTACATTCTGTATGCTTAGACCCATTGACAAAAATTACATTCATAAATGCATAACACAGGTGTTCATAGAATCTCAGCACGTGGGAACTGATAGTAACCTGATCACACTGCGTAGTAATACACTACAAAAACTACTCACTCGGAACGACCGACCTAGATGCTTAATTCTTACATCTTAAAATATTATTGAACTGTGCTTTGTGAAATATCCACGTATTCACGTGTCCTGTGCTACAAATAAACATTGAATATGGAACTACATTTTGTTGTGTTATTGTTGTTGACGGTTGCTAAGATCTCTCACGATAGTGTCACATTTCCCCGCGATAACACACTGTTCTCGCCACTGCGTTGCACCCGTGTATAAGCAGGAACAAACCCTGTTTATTTGTTTTATTCGTTGTTATATCGATCCACTGAAAGGATTCGTCAATGTAAATATAAGGAATGATTTTTATCTTTTCAACATTTATGAGGTCATAACAACAATGGGTTTATGGACATATTTAATGAATCGCCTTAGCGATTCATGTAAAATATGTCCAAAAACCCATTGTTGTTACGACCTCATAAATGTTGAAAAAATAAAAATCATTCCTTAAATGATCTATACATGCCTTCTTATAATTCCTATGATGTTGATTGGGAATAATATAGCGCTTTATAGAAAGGATTAGCTTATTGCCTGTACAAGTGAATTTCTGAAATCGCAAAAGCGAAACTAAAACATTCCTTGAAAACAGAAAGGAAGTAACACCATTATCAGTCATCGTTCAAGTTAGAAATCGTTTATACGTCAGCCTTTAAACTTTACCTTTCATATAGTATTGACCATCCTTCTCGCATTAAAGCGCACCAAAGGTTTATATGCATACGTGCAGTTTTCATACTCTTTTTGATAGGTACTCGCATGTTACGGGTTTCAGGTCAAAGGTCAACTAAGCTCGAACAACGTTCAGTTTGCTGTCTCACGATGTAGTATCACATGACAACAAGGTGTAACGTGTGGATACATGCAGGAGGCTTAACGACTGGAGTTCCATGCTACATACGGTAAGTTACACATTTATTAACTAGCACTAATTTAGTAATATGTAATTTCGGTACTAATGAAAAGGGTAGAACAAAAAGAAAAGAGTAATAACCTGAAGTTAGGGTGCCAGACTAGCCCTTGTTCTGATTTAGTTTAGGAGCTGGACGGATCCAGGGTAAGGGACCCGGGGATGGGGGTGATATCTTAAGTGTGCTTGCGAAGTCTCCTTCCCCTCCTTGTTGTCACATGCTAAAGTTATGATAACTGTAGACACAGGAATTCTTGTAATGATTTTTAAACGATGATATTAAGGGATTTCTGAAAACACAAAACGAAACCAAAACAATTCATAGAAACAAAATGGAATTAGGCCATTATTTTTCTTATTCATATTTCACAGCGTGAATTGTATTATTTATACCCTAGGGGCCTCTGGTATTTGGAATTACGTGTAGGTGATTCCACTCCGTAGTCAAAGGGTGGCCTTATAATTTCGTTAGTATGGACTGTCTGGATCATGTTTTAAACTGGCCACTCATCACTGAAATCGACAGGTGATTTGTTATTGTCAAGTATAATGTCAAATTAAAAAAGGGGAAGGAGTACGAAAAGCGCTATATTATTCCAATCAACATCATAAGAATTATAAGAAGGCATGTATAGGTCATGTATATAACCCTTAAATCTAATATAATGTTACAGAGAAAGGATTACCTTATTGCCTGTACTAGTCACTTCCCTCATCAATGGATGGTAGTTTTATATTGAGTATGCATCGCCTATGCTTTCTAACATTGTATATATTCGCTGAACTCTATAATGCCTAGGTCATATGAAGTAAAGTTTGAAATTCGTTTTGAACTACTAGTAGTTTAGTTTTTATCCAATGTTACCCAAACACTTTACCGAATCAGAATGTTCAAATTGGATAATTTTCCTCAACTAATTACAACGTTAAATCCAGAATATACCGTCGTTAACGTTGTTGATTTTGTGCTAGTTGTTGTTATTGTAAATAAACCTTTTTTGTTGTACGTTGGCATCATAACAATACAATAAATTATTGTACATTTTTGTTGTATTTTATGTAAACCCTATTGCGCACATAAGTTGTAATAAAAATGTCACAGCCAGTCAGTGGCCACAACGGCTTTCTTGGAATTTCAGATCAGGACGAAAAGCAACAAAACTTGTTTGGAACCTCATAAGGAAATTTGTACCAGGTCTGGAGTAAATCAATGCAGCACTTCCTGAGAATAAATTCAAAATGTCTAAGCTTATCAGATGCAAGGGTGTCCTTTTTGAATTATTTGCTTCACATTTGGAGTCGATAGGTACAGCCGTTCTTGAGAAGAAGTCAAACACGTCTCAGACAATCAGATGCCATGGTGACCATCTTTGATTTTCAGATCGGACAAAAAATAAGAACCAGAAGTAACGTTCGTATATAATTTGTAGTTAATCGCCTCAGCCGTTCTGAAGAATCGAAAAGATCTCTACAAATCAGACGGTAAGGCGGCCATCGTAGATTTTCGGATCGGCACTAAAAGTTGGAACCCATGTTGGAGACCTCAACAGAACATTTGTACTAATTCTGGAGTCAATTAGTGATGCCGTTCCTAAGAAGTCAAAATGTCTCAGCAAAGTAGAGGCCAGGGCGGCAATCTTGAATTTTCGTATCAGAACTAAATGTAAGAATACGTGTTTGGAACGTAACAAAGAACCTTTGAAGGGTATTTGGAGTAAATTAGTGTAGATGTTTGGAGAGGAAGTCGAAAGTGACGCAATCAATCACATGCTGGGGCGGCCATCTTGGTTTTTTGGATTAGCAATAAATAATTAAGTGAAAGTACTTGCATGGGATCACATACCAAACATTTTAATCAAGGTTGAAGTCAACTGCTTTAGCGATTCTTGAACATGTCTCAGCCAATAAGAGACACGGTGGCCATCTCGGGTTTTGGATCGGCACGAAAAATAAGAACACTAGGCCAATCGATGCAGTTGTTCTGAAAAAGTCTGAAAATGTAAATTGTCAACGCACGACGTACGACAACATATGGCACTAGCTGATATGCTCAATCATGTGAGCTAAAAATAGTAATTTATTGGGGATGAAATCATTTACCACAAAGAGGTAGCAGTGCTTTCTACCATAGCATCTTTAGCATATGAGAGATATATTGAACATGGTATCTTTACCGTCCGCAGACGAGATGGGATACACAATGGAGCTACTCCTTAAAAGGGATTAGAAGAAACCTACAATGCAGATGTCAAACAGAAGCAATGACTGTGTAGGATCATCAAACTGTAAGCCCTGACCAAATGGCTTTCAACGAAACCCAGCACAGCTACAATTGCTGACAAATATCGGAGAATGCTAAAGATGAATTCAGATGCAGAATAGCACACCATGAAACAGGTAGTGTTCAAATCTCAAAGGACTCAACAACTTTGCAGGCCACCATAGACATCATCACCAATAAAATGATCCCATGAATGAAATGAATGTAACTCATCCCAGACAGAACTTCAAGTACATTGCTCCAAATTGTTACTTGAATGAAAGCAACAGAGGAAGTGAAAAGGGATTTGACGCATGCCAAAGGAAAATGAGAAACAACATTGAGAAAATGCTATAACTATGGGGAATTAAGTTAGCTGTTATCAAGTTAAATAAAATTGGGACACAGAAATATGGCAAGGCAACAAGTAGAATGCAAGCACAGACTCGAGTAGAAGTTGGAATACTCGAGAAACTTTAACACGTGATAGAAAGTGTCGGTCAGATACTTTAACAGGTGATACTAAGTGGCGGTCAGAGACTTAAACAGGTGATACTAAGTGTCGGTCAGAGACCTTAACAGGTGATAGTAAATGTCGGTTGGAGACCTTAACAGGTGATAGTAAGTGTCGGTTGGAGACCTTAACAGGTGGTAGTAAGTGGCGGTCAGATACCTTAACAGGTGATAGTAAGTGACGGTAAGAGACTTTAACAGGAAATCGTACGTGGGGGTCAGATACTTTAACAGGCGATAGTAAGTCCCAGTCAGAGATTTCAACAGGTTATAGTAAGTGCCAATCAGATACTTTAATAGGTGATAGTAAGCAGAGGTAAGCTACTTTAACAGGTGAAAGTAAGTGGCGGTTAGAGCAAGTAAAGTGGTGATGGCGATGAAGTTACTGAAGAGGAGCTAATAGATAGACATGCATGTACTTAATCCCCTCCATCCTGTTTGATTTAGCTCGGACTGAGACGTCCAAATGTGGTCATTTCAACAAGATGGAACATTCCACGATATCTACCGGCACTACATGCGTTCACTATTTTTGCCACGTGTTAGTCACGTCAGACAGTTGGTATCAGTACCTGGATTGAAATACACACAGGAGAAGGCATGCATTGTCACCCTGTAAGAAAGTAGCAAAAAAGTATTTGTGTATGCAAATGATACTGATGTCATCATGCATTTCATATATTAATGTAGCTTCGGGATAGAACAGATTAGGCTTCATACCTACCTTTACATCGAATTGCCACAAACCCTAGCTCAGATGATACACGTTTATTTGTGAAGGAGCTGCACATCACTGAAGCTGCCACACAGAAGAATTCAAAATCAATCAATTAAAAAAAAAAAACTTTTGCAATGTAGTATCAGGCAATCGTCTTGGCCTGCCACAAATAGGATGGGTCTAACAGCACATTAAATGGACATCTTCTCAAATTGTACCGCATCCGTCACAGAGTTTTGGGTGGATATTTGATGGTGATGGAACAGTCACATCATTGAAGATAACAATCCTGGTTTGGCGGCTATTATCAAATGCAAGAAACGGTATGCTGGTACACAAATGTGCTTGTAACAAGAATATTGTGTTACGGTTGATGTAGTTGCAAAGAACTCGATTTCTTTGAAATGATAAATATTAATCCACTATGTTTGAAATAAAACAATGCCTTAAGAAATTGTTTTTGAATTTGGCAATGCACCCTGATCTTCAACCTTGATATGACCTTGACATTAAATATCCCGATGTGTATAATAACAAAAAGATTGGGCAATGCATAGTGAACACTTAACTACCATCTATTAATGAGAAAAGTGATTAGTACATGAAGGAAGTTATACTTATTTCTGTAACATCAAACCCCAAAATCTTAATGGGACTTTACATGAGGTGAAATGTTGATAAATTACATATCTATTTCACAGATTTTTTTTTATTTCATAACATGTTTTGAATAACTGAAGAACTCTAAAAATAAAATATGCAATAGATTACAGTTTAATGTATGAAGCGAAACTTGTGACAAATATTTTTCATACTATCTACCAAAATCAAATTCTGACCAGTATACATACCTAAACGTTTTTGACAGTTTGTTGATTTAAGTATGCTCTCAAGGGAACAAGGGACATTTTTTCTGACAACGTTCCTTCCAAGTACCATAGTACTAGTTTTATGTCAATTAAAACATGTTATCCTTACACCACTGGTTTACATTTTGCATGTTTTCATTATTTTTGTGGTTCTCATTCACAACAATCAACTCTCTTTTCATAACTAACAACATTTGCATAAAAGTCTACTTCACAATGTTGGATATAGAGAGGGAGATCAAAAATATAAATAAGAATTACCAGAGGATCCAATAATAGATATCAGAGGACCTCCTGATACAACGTCATATGTAGTTTAAGATAAACCTTCCGTCTAGTTGAGACGAAAAGAACAAAGAACTTAAACGTGTAAAACTTTAATTCAGTAATGCTAAAACCTAACTTCATGAATAATTTTACTATTTCAATGCAAATTAGCGTTTTTCAAGTGTGAATATCTCTAAAACAAGACTACTTAATTACCCAATTATTAATACTTCGTTAAATAATTATTATTTTTCAAAGGGTCGGTAAAATTGAAATATTTCATGGTGGTCAGGAGTCCATATCGACCTAGACGAAGTCGACTTCGGTCAATATCACTTCCTCATGTCACATTTGACCGTATATTCATCGAAATTACAGGAAATGGAAGTCCTTAATTGTTCTGTTAGATATAAAACTGACACTGTATTCTAAAATCTACAAGGGAGACTGATTAAAATCCATGAGAGAATGTAATGCATCTTACATAAAGCATTGTGACGTTACGATTGTAGTGACTTCATCAAGCGAATATTGACCTTCTGTTTCTGAAAAAAGGAACAATAAAACATTGTAGTATTTCACCGACCTTAATATGTTTTGATTCAATCAATGAGGATATATGAAAAAAATATGAAAGGTTATTGATCTGGGTTTGGCTTAAACCTTGACAGCCATCAATTGTCGCTTAGCACCCGCCAGATACAATAATGCTATCGTAAAACTAAATTAATGAAAATAAACATTCAAATGTTTTATAATTGTAAAAATGTTTTACCCCTGAAAGCGATATTGACTTGTTATTGTAATATCTCTATCTTCAAATGATCCACAAAACGCGTGAATGCACAGTAGACAATATCATACAATCGCATAATATGTATTTCTGAATGGGTTTTTTTCCTTCTGAAAACCGGGAAAGTATTCCTGTTCATAAAAACTATATGTGCGCACATAAATAAAATACGATCTGATGTGGAATTAATCAAATCAAAACCATTGACATGAATAGTAAAATAGAAGTACACTTTTATCCTGTTTTGATACTTTTCAATTTTGTTAATGATATAACACAATTCGTGCTAAACAGAGAACGTTCATGATTTCGCTATACTGTGTGTGATTAGCGATGCTTTGAATTCTCCTATTCCGTGGTACGTTTCAGTATATGTAAATGTAATTCAAAACTGGCTGAACGTTTTGACGCAAAATAATGCCCGATTGGTTTCAAAGCACATGAAAGTTAATACAGTAAATGTGGTTGACATTATAAATCATCATGGACCAAACTTAAAATTAGGTTTCAAAATAATCAGGTTATAATGTTGGTGACCATACACTTTGTTTCCTAATTTTCAGACAGTAACATGTAATCATAGTCTATTCGGAACAACATGGCGGAGGCATCCAGTGGTCCTGCACCTGCTCCGGTGTCCGGATTCGGTAAATATTTCTTTTTTAAGTATTTTTTAACATATTAGAGCGCAATATAATAAGTTATTAATTAACATGAATTTCTACTTTGTGAACGAAAACAATAGGATACTAATTTTGTCTTTTATTTCCAGATGTTTCAGTTCAGATCTGTCCATACACTATCAAAGGCAAAAAAGAACATAGTGAAGATCTTGCTAAGAGGCTATGGTCATGCATTCATGCTGCTGATTTTCAGGAATTCTTGAATCAGACAGGGCGTGCTTACTTAATCAAAGAAATCATCCATCACCAAGGAGAAGATGAAATCAACATCATTTTCACAATACGTGACGGGAAGGCTTGGGCTTCATTCAAAACCCGCTTCCATAACGATTTATCGAAAAACATTAATGCTTATCTAGATAGGAATAAACGAACCCTTTTAACTACGTTCAGTCGTATTAGGAAAGACAATTCATATGTGCAATACAAAGTCAGCATGTTTGATAAGCAGAAGACGACGAAACAAGCGGAAAGTTTCTTCGTGTAAGTATTGTTTTTTTAAGTTCGTATTTTTTTCAGCATTACAAGTAATTGATCAGCTGGAAAGTATGTGTCTAGTATTAATATGGAGCATGAAATGTGCATTGGTCCTGTCATTTTACTTCCAAATGAATTTCTGAATATGGACATAAGTAACAATAGTATGGAACGAATAGTTTGTTTGGGGAGGGTAGGAATGGGAGATTGCTTTTTCGTCATCAAAACAGGTTATATGAAGACGTTGTTAGCGAATATAAGGGCCACTGAATGGCGACTTTTAAGATGTTGAAGTCTTCAATGCACTCTGGTCATGGTACATGTCAATTGGCCCAAGAATTACATTTCCTTTGGTACTGAATTATACACGTTTCATGTCGGGACTGATCGGATGATCCAAATGAGAGCCAGTCAGCCACATTGAATTTTGATAGTAAAAGTTTGTTTGCACAATTTCTCAAGAAGTGATTGACATATTATTATTTTGCTATTTTTTAAGTAGATTGTTGTAGGTCCTTCGTTGTGCATATACCATTTTGAGATTGATTTGAATAACAGATGTCTGACAAGCAGACATTTTGGTAAATGACGATTCAGAGTTGTTGAGATTTCTCAGAAAGTCCCACATAGATTATTTTTTTCAAATTTCACAAGTAGGTTACTCATACTTCCTAATTGTGCAAGATCAATTTTACGACTGATCGAAATCAAAGTCATATTCACAGTGATAAACAATTATGCAATAGCCTTTTTTGTCATTTTAGAGACTTGCAAAACACAGAAAGAAACGTCAACGAAAAGACTCCAGTTGTAAAGGTAAGTATTTGTATTTGATGATTATCAAGTCAACATTCATCTTTTTTGTATAAGTTTATAATTTAAAGTGATGGAAGTATGTATGCAGAAATTTGGGAGGGATGCAATTATCAACCTCTTTTACTTCTGAAATGGTTTCTAAACGACATTAAGCAAATTTATAAAACAAAACTATAAATCATAATAATACAGAATTATCGTAGCTGTTTATAGCATTTAAATTCAGTAGTGTTCCTACCAAAAACTTACCAATATCTTAATTACATTTGCAAAACATAATTCACAAAAAATGCTTATATTGTCCTTTTTAAAATTCCCGTCGTCTGCATAGCAAATTGAAGTTAAAATATTTTTCTTTCAAGGAATTTAGCGAAACTTCCATTGAAAGTGCAAAGGCGAAAGAAATTGACAAGGTCCCGCATCCAGTAGCTGGTTCAACATTAACATCAATCTCCAAAGCTGCTCATGTAAGCATAATGTCTATAATCGGAGTCTTATTTGTTTGTCTGTCTTCCATTTTCTCAAAGAAAAATAATACCTTTCTTTTAGCTTTTATCCATATCTATGTTTACAATAGGTACACATCAATATATATTTATTTCATTATTTCCCCCATCATCTGTCAGAAAGGGCAAACAAACTCATTGGCCGCTTTAATAAATAAAGGTTGTATTTGTATCATTGTTATCAATATTCAATTATATTTTAAGATCAGGGTGAATTTTAAAATCAATCGAATTCTAACACATACAATTTAAGTCTTCTCTGGCTTGCTATTTTAGAACCTGTTCAAAGTATCACGATTTTCTGAAATAAACTTAAGCAGTCAATAATTGATTTCCAACTGTACATGAACATTAGACATTCATTGTTGTATCGTCGGTGACAGACTTACATTCCTGGGTTTGACAGAAGACACCATGACTATTGCCACATATTTTGGTTTCGGGAAAAGCAATTGGTATTATGGAGCACCTTATTTCATCTGAGATTCATCAGGATGTCATGATATTTTCAACGTTCCAGTCGTATGTAGAGTCTGTTTCGTGTTGACTCTTAGTTTGCTATTCTTTTCTTTATTTCGATTTATTTTCCATGTACTTAAAAATGGTATTGAAGTGTCATTCAGGTGCAACATATAATATGAAATTGTGAACATGTTATATATTACAACAGGTTCATGAAGACAGCCAAGTTGCGAAAAAAATGGTTAATTTGGAACCGAGAAAGGAACAATCCGGACATTCTCTCGATCCGACTCCTTTGCAAGATGGCACTTATATTGTGAGTGATTTTTCTATTTGACTTTGAGAACATTGATAACAGTTACTATCAGACATTTATTTATTGGTTACGTTATATAAAAGGATATTTGATGTCCTAGATAGGCAATCATCTTGTATTTTGAAAGATAAAAGTTTAAGTTCAATATTTAAAAAAAACTTAAGACAGTCCTTTCTCGAATATCACAAGTAGGTCGTTCCTGGACCTTAGTTGTACATATGGATTTTGGTCTAATTGAATTACATGATGGCCGACAGGTGCCCATTTTAGTTTTTGAAAGTAAAAGTACTGGTAGGATCTTGCTAAAATTTCACATGTAGATTCCCCAGGGTGCTTATGTGTGGATAATGGATTTTGGACTGATCGGAAAACAGGATGGCCGAAAGCCGACCATCTATTATTTTAAGAGATTAAGTTTCTTAATATTACTTATTATTGGATATTGACAGGTTAACGCATAGGTCGGATATGTTTTAGATATTTATAATATGGGTCAAAGAAGTAATGTCAACGGTTAATTCCCATATAACACTGGATCCTAGCAAACGTATGTTTGTGTATAATACAAATGGCTAAAAATCGGTATATATAAGTAAGTAACGAAATGACGAAAATGTATAACACACTGAAATACAGGCATTTCGTCCACTAAATCTGCGGTGGTTGTTGAATCTGATATTGAATTTGGTTCTAGCTTCACCCACATTTTTTGCAGGTAATAAGATACACTACACTGCCTCATGTGCGTGTCAATGCATGTAATTTGTAATACTCTTTGTCATTCATTTCACATTGAAATGTTTCTTTAGAGAGTGTGTGTACTTTCCATCAATGCAGAGAAACTGATTGTAGTACATCTGAGTCTGGAAGGCAGATTTTTGAAATATTGGTAATTGTTCCCTTTGGGGCCCCACCATGGCCCCCGGGGTTGGGATAGGAATTCCAATTTTTCAATATTGATACCCTCTTACTCGAAGGATGATTCTCATCAAGTTTAAATAATTTCCTTCTGAACAAAATATCCAAAAGTGTAATTTTCCTCTATAAATTTAAGTAAATTTACCCCTCCTCAAGAGAGAATGGATGGCCCTAGGTACTTAAATTTACAATTGAAATAAATCCCCTGTTGATCTTTCCATGTTTGCAGAGAAATTGACTGTAGAACATCTGAGTCTAGAGAGAAGATTTTTGAATTATTGATGCATTTCCATTTGGAACCCCGCCCTGGCCCCAGGGGTTTGGGCAGGAATCCCAATTTTACAGTTTTGTACCTCCTCTATTTTGGATTGTTCTGACAAACGACGCACGACGACAGACGAGGTCTGATAGGAAAAGGTCAATTGAGCCTTTTGCTCAGGTGACCTAAAACAATGTTTCAGGTTTTGAAAGAGCCTTTTGCTGCAGCAGAGGCAATCGTATGTGGCTTGCTACTTACCACGATATCCCCTATGCCTTTTGGTCTGCGATAGGCAAATACAGGGGAATCGGTACGCGTGTTCGATTTAGTGGACGTTATCCATTTTCGCCATTTCGTCGTCGCTACTTTGTAATGTTTATTTCTCTTACCCACACTAAATTTTAATACATTTTGCAGGAATAGATTATAACCATATTTTTACCTATTAAAAGAGAGATTCTACTCCATATCCCATTACTTATCCCTGGATGAACCGTTTTTTTGTTGTTGTTCGCACACACATTATCTTTGGTCAACGATGCGGTCAGTGTTAGCCGAGGGGCTTATTGCTATTAATATCCTATATTTCTATTTTGTTACTTTGTAATGTAAGTACTCTGTGATTGTCTGTGCCTCGATAAAGGAGCGGATTGCTCCAAAAATTGACAATCCCATATTGTCTTTTGTCTTCACTGCTGGAATTACTTCCTGGTCCCATTAAGGTGGATATTTCGAGGCTGGGCAATTAAGTGATGTTTGTTGGGAGTTCGAGGCCTGGATAAGGTACTAGTCATGAAAGTGTCTTCCTTCGTCACCTGTGTTCCTTTGTCACTTATCAAATAAATACTGTTCGTATGCATATATATATATCTATACAGTTTTATCCAGGTACTCATATTATCAAAAGATGATATGTTACTATGACCATGTCAAGGATATCAGGCTGTTGACCACTACATCATCGAACCACTTCATTTAAGAAGGGGAGGTAGTGTGGTGGTAGAGCTGTGGATATTTCTAGTCTAGGCGATTGGGATACCGTAGATCGTGAGTTCGAGATCCGGACAGGGCACGAGACATAAAATTGTCTTCCTTCGTCACTTGTGTTTCTATGTCATTTCTTCAATACATAAACACAATGCATCATACACACAAGTGTATGTTGGTTCGAAAGTTTAAAATATGAACTACCTGTCGTAATTGTACTGTCTATATTATATATAAATAATTCATTAAGATACGAAAGTATTTAGTACAGTTAGAGTGTTGACTGGATTTAATTGCATATCTGAAGCTTAAGTTGAGTCGGAGATTGACCTTGTCATTAAGAGCTTTACCTGGTAAATTCCTGTTTAACTATGCTGTCACCATTACTTGAATGTCATACATTTTTTATGACCGCTTGCATTGCATATATTTAAATTTACCTATTCAGGAACCTTGATTATTTACGGCAAATAACAAATAAGGCGAAACAAAATGAATATTTCTCAATATTAAGAGTATGCATTGAATCTATTTGTTGTTTTTCGGTAATGGAAGATATGATTTATCATATGTACATATGTAGGGTAGAATTATCTTACCTCAGAATCGTACAGAATTTGAGAGAATAGCCGAAGCTTTTGTAAGGTTTAAAAACCCAAACTTTGTACCAAAGTGTGGGGCATTTCTATTATAAATGATTTATGTATGGTAAAGTTATCTTCTTGCATCTCCTACCACATAATTCGATAGAAATATATGACCGCCATTTTGTGGCAAAATACCAGCTGCATTAACCGATATTAAAATTTCAATAGAAAAAGCGCATCACAGGTTCAAACGCCATGTCTTAAATAATAATAATATATACAGCATTTGGTATAGCGCACTATCTAAAGCGCTTTACAGTACATAGATATACAAATAATACAATAAGCATTTACATAAATCAATACAATTTTGAGGAATTAGCAGGAGCTGCTTTATCAGTCGCTAACTACTAATCCTATGCCACCTGGCTAATATCTCCCTATGTGTGTATGCCTGCGAGTGTGCTGAAGATGTGATGTGTTCTATGTGTAGTGGGACCGTGTTTCCAACGGCATCATTTATAGTGCCACCTCACTTGAATGCTACAGCACAGATACCGCAACATCGATCCCAGACCATTTTATACTCCACCTGGGTTGTTGGATTCGGTGGGCATGAGAAAAACACTTTCTCTGATATTACATGCGTGCGACGACTTCGAGGATCGAATCCGCCCATAGACCAGATAGTCAAGGCAGGTAAAGCGCTTGTACTGGAAAGTAAATTCAACAAAAAGATTAAATGACATAAAACGTGCCGAGGCACGACGCCATTTTATTATCTTGCATTGAGTTTTCCTACATGGCTTTCAACATGTATCACAGGAACAATCTATCTTACACAACCAGCTATGTAAGAAATACATTTTGTTCATTAATAAGTGTAGAATGATCTACAGCACCAAAGAAAAGACCTGTTGAAATCATACTGCCTTGTGATCAGCAGTCGGCGTTGCCTCTGCGACACGTTGCGGTCTGTTTTGTCTCTTCATGATTGCATAACGGCATCTTGTCCACACATTTCTGAAAAAAATCATATTCTTTTCATCATTATACTTTGGAGAGAACAATTTCTTTCATGTGATAATATATTTATCATCCAGAATGTGTGGATAATCGAACATTTTGTGAAAATTTTAATGTAAAATACAAGATTTTTCTTACTATTCTTGTTAACCAAATATTTTCATATTAAAAAGAGATGGTATTATTTCAAGTATGTATGTAACAATTAGTCCCAAAACAGTGATTGAAAGTATTCATTTCGCACAATTAAGTAACCTGTGTAACCAAAAAGGTGAGGACCTAAGACACATCCCTGGCGTTCACCAGAAAGCAATGCACCTGGTTACGGGGAATTGGTAATGCAATTCGTTGCAAGCCTACAATAAACCTTTAAGTGCATGTTAGGTCACAAACAGTTCCAAATTCATATTTGCTTCACCACTCGGCGTGATTGATAAAGTTTTTGGTAACAATCAATTTTACATCGAATGTAATATCCTTGTCACTTTTAAGAATTTATTCTTGTACATTTTGTTATGATTTTTTTATACATTTTATCGTCAGAGTTTTCTTATTACATTGCTATTAGGGGATACTTCATATGCATTTGCAAATATTCATCTCATGATGAAGAGTAAATGTATTGGTGAAGGTGCCATCGTGTCTTCAAGAGATCTCGTAAAGTTAAAGGTACAAGAAATGTAAAAAAATCCACAATATGGAGCAAGACGACAATGTAGTCGTTGATCGGTGTTGGCTTTTTGATAAACTGACTAAAAGTGGCATAGATTGCTCGATTGAAGATATTAGTATTTGTCCGAAGTGCTACATAAGGTATCTGCGAAAAAGAGAGCCTGAAACTGAACGTTTGGAAGATGAAACTACTAGTAGTTTTCCTCTTTTAACACTCAGGGACCTATTTTACGGATCCTGTTCACATAGATTTGTTTTTTTAAACAAATCCACAAAGCGTGCCAGACATCAGTTAATTTTCACACACAAATCGTGGTGTTCTGCGTCATCACGTGTTTCATCTTATTGGCAATGACCTGAACCCATGTACACATGTTATTCTACAAGGAAGACAGCCTTTGGTTTTTCAATTATTAAGTAGATCATCTGAATTAATTGATGACCTTTTAGAAGTGTCGTACCTCTTATCAAAGAATCAATCAGCCTTCAGTCTCATTTTCTCTCTCCTGACTGCAAAGCTTGGACAGGTTGGTCCAAAGAACAGTTTCTCA